ACACATGCGGAAAAAGTTTCAGTGAAGGACGTATTTTGAAAGTCCACATGAGAACTCACACAGGTGAGAAGCCATACTCTTGTGACACATGCGGAAAAAGTTTCAGTGAAGGACGTATTTTGAAAGTCCACATGAGAACTCACACAGGTGAGAAGCCATACTCTTGTGACACATGCGGAAAAAGTTTCAGTGAAGGACGTATTTTGAAAGTCCACATGAGAACTCACACAGGTGAGAAGCCGTACTCCTGTAAAACCTGTGGAAAAAGTTTCAGTCATGGAGGTCGGTTGACAGTCCACATGAGAACTCACACAGGTGAGAAGCCATATGTTTGTAACACATGTGGAAAAAGATTTTCTGACACATCAACACATAAAAGGCACACAGCAATCCACAAAGGGGAAAAGCCATATTCCTGTACAGCCTGCGGAAGAAGTTTCAGTCAAGGAGGTCATTTGAAAGCCCACATGAGAACTCACACAGGTGAGAGGCCGTACTCTTGTGAAACCTGTGGAAAAAGTTTCAGTTATGGAGGTAGTTTGAAAGCCCACATGAGAAGTCACACAGGTGAGAGGCCATACTATTGTACAACCTGTGGAAAAGGTTTCAGTCATAGAAATCGGTTGAAAGTCCACATGAGAGCTCACACAGGTGAGAAGTTGTCATCCTGAAACGTGTGGAAAAAACGTTTTACAGCAGCTTCTGACTGTGCTTCAACAATAATTGTGAGGAAATATGTCAGCAGTCCTTGATGATTAGACCAAATGGAGTCTGGACTGTGGTGGTGGTGGAGCTGGGAGAAGAACCAGGCTGAACATCTGGATAAATGTACTATTGGTACAGGCTGCTGCATTTTTGATATCATGTCTCATCCTTCATCAGCATAGCAGTGGTGTGAGATATTGTGAAGCTCTTTGGAACATTTTCACATCCTGCTGGAAGAACATGGTTGATCATGTGTGAACATACTGCTGGAGTCCAAACAGCTTGAGTGCTGCTGTCTTTAAAGTAAAAGGGCGGCAAAGAACTACTGAGGCGTTATGACAGTAGGACACAGCAGAGTGTGTCATTGCAACAGAAGAGATCTGCACATGAACCTCCTTTGATTGTTTGTCATGTTTCAAAGACAGACAGCTGAGGAGATGAAGTGGACTTCTGTTGGTACCTGTAGAGGTAGTTGATACAGTCAAGACAGTCTCAGTGTTTCGTTCCACAGCCATCATTACATCTTTCAAGGTCATTCATCTAATTTCTTCATCAGCAAAATGTCACATACATAGCAGCAAATTCCCCAAACAGAAACCACCTTTACTGATTTAATGTGTGATTTAAAATGTGATCTCCACAGGCTGTAATGCTGTACAGGTCAGACTGTGTGAAAACTACAGCCATATGTCAGGAAATTAGTCTGTCATCTGTTTGTTCCTCATCAGTGATTTATTTTCTGATGCATTATTGGAAATTCTAAATTTGTTTCAAACTCCATATTGATAATAAATAAACTTAAAAATGTCTGCAGCTCCACGAGTGCTTTGTGAAATGTTATGAATGTATTTCAACCGATTAACATTTACAACTTGTTTAATGACTTTAACACTGATGAGCCCCAGCAAAGGTGTTATGTTATGAAGCAACACACAATTGGTTTTACTGGTAGTATCTGATATACACCCACAAATGTTAAAAACATGTCAAGCTAGGTTGCAGTTTCTGCTGTTTCAACAGGGACCTTGTGTTATTTCTTTCTTCTGTCATCACCACATAGGTCATCAGTGTGATTTGTTAATAGGATCTTATGATGTAGTCAGGTCACTGTTATTTATACAGCACATTTGACACAACAGCAACTGAGTCAAAGTACTTTCCAGTAGAGAAGTAAACACAATGTCACTAATTTGCCTCACAAGTTTAAATATTAAGGGCCTAAAATAATTTTAATGGAATTAAAGTGCCTGACTCATTCAAATATTAAGTTAAAGATCTAGTGATATTGTAAGATTATTTTTACATCAGACCGCAAACCAACATGGCGTGAAAGTGGAAGACCATTTCCCAGACCTATGTCTTTTTAATTCTCTTCAAGACGCCATATGAGTAGCAAACAGGAGTCTGGCCTCACAGATCAGGAACGTTTTAGACTGAGGAAACTTGTGCTGACGTCCAAAAGACAGCTGAATGATGAACGTGGCAGCCAAGTTTGTTTCAATTAATACAGTTGTTTTTATCCTAGTTTTTTACATCTCTTTTATCATGGATGTTTCTAAACTGGGTCTTTTAAATATAAACGGAGCCAGAGATCTGAGGAAAAGACAAGCAATTTATGAGACAGCCACACTTAAAAAGATAGACGTCCTGTTCCTTCAGGAAACTCACAGGGATTTTAGCAATGAGGCTGAGTGGAGGAGAGAGTGGGAAAGAGAGGCCATTATAAGCCACCACACTTCTCTCATCGGAGGAGTGGGCCTACTCTTCGCCAGAGCTTTTAATCCCAACTCACTGGAGGTCCAACACTGTGTAGGGGGGATGTTGCTTGTAGTTAAGGCTCAGTTCGACCATTTTAAAGTTGTTTTCATTAACATCTATGCCCCAACATCCGGTGCAGAGAGGAAACTTTTTCCTCAAACTAATTGAGGTGGTAAGTGGGAGTGGTACGGAGAACTATTTGTTTCTGGGTGGGGATTTTAACTGCACGGAGGGCACAACGTTTGATCGCAACCATGCAGAGCCTCATCCAGCCTCTTAGAACACCTAAAAGCAGCTGGTCCACTCTCACGGCATAGTGGACGTCTGGAGAAGGATGCATACACCTGGTCCCACCTTAGAGAGAGCAGGGTTACCTCAGCCAGGTTTGATCATATTTATTGTTTTAAGCATCATTTTCATGTTTTTAAGAAGTGTGATATTTTACCTGTTGGTTTTACTGATCATTGTTTATGTTTAAATAGTATTTTTATCAGGAATGTTTTACCCAAGAGTCCCTACTGGCATTTTAATTCTGTTTTAACCTTTGATAAAAGTTTTCGAGAGGCTTTAATGTTTTTTTTGGAGGTTTTTAGACAGAGGAAGAGTGATTTTAGCAGCCTTAAGCAATGGTGGGACCATGGCAAGGCTCAGATTAAAGTTCTGTGTCAGTAGCACATCCTAAATGTCACAGGTTCACAGGTGACATCACCAGAGCTTTGAAGGATCTAGAGACTGAAATAGTGGAGCTGGAGTGTTTGCGTGAGTCCACAGGAAATCAAGGCTGCACTGAAAGCCGCAAAGGCAAAAAAAATAAAATAAAAGGCTTTAGCCAACCTGCTGAGCATTTAAGTGCAGGGCGCACTGGTCCGGTCCCGGTACCAGACCATCTTGGGGATGGATGCTCCCTCTAGCTTCTTCAGTCTAGAGAAAAAGAACAGACAGGGTAAGTAGTCCACACACTGCTCCCAGACAAGGGGCAGGAGATCTCGTAACCATGCCAGTTGCGGAAAAAGGTGGTGAGCTTCTACATCACCCTGTACAGGAGCAAGTACAAGGAGGAGCAAGGTTTCCTCAAGGGGTTCCTGAGGAGGCTACCTCATGTCTCCACAGAGACAAACAGGCAGCTCGAGGCCTGCCTCGAAATGCAGGAGCTGTGGGCAGCACTGCAGGCAAAGCCAACCAGCAGGTCTCCAGGGATCACCACCAAGTTTTATAAGACGTTCTGGAACATCCTGGGTCGGGATGTCCTCGACGTCTTCAGTGAGTGTCTGACCTCTGGTTCCATGCCAGTGTCCAGCAGGAGAGCAGTCCTCACTCTGCTCCCCAAGAAGGGCAACCTGCAGGACATCAAAAACTGGCGCCTCGTGTCTTTGCTTTGAATGGACTATAAACTCCTGTCCAAAGTATTGGCCTCTAGGCTGGGGAGAGCTATGGAGCAGGTCATCCACTGAGACCAGACCTACTTCGTCCCCGGCAGGTCCATGGTGGACAACATCCACCTGATTCGAGATTTTTTTTAAATCTCTAGTTCTATTTCATCCCTGCTGACCGCCAGAGGCGGTGCTTTAAGCACTGAATATTCCAATTCGCGCATGCGCAGTATGAATATCAACAATGTCACCTGTGACACCTGGATGACCCGGGGGAGACTATATCTTCCGGTGCCATCAGAGTATCTGTCGCTATCGCTCTGATAGCGTTATCCAAAGCCGCATTTCCAAATACGTCCTGTCGCTTTGTAGCTCCGAGACCGTGTTGGTCGGGGCGGCGGACTTTTCGCCCCCCCTAGGAGCTGCGACGGATGGTTTTTCCCTCTTCTGTGAGGTGTTACGTTTGTTTATAATCGCCCGCACGCCGTGGCGTCTGGCGTGGTAAGACAGCGTTGTCGCTTCCCTCTTCGGACGGACGGTAAGTGGCTGTATTACTGTTGACAGTTTATATTGTCGGTGCACACTTTGTCGGTAACGGCTGCGTTTACGCCCCGTCCTCCCGGCATTTGAGCCGACTTAATTGCATTCTGTTTGTTTCACGT